CCCGAGGGCAACCATTTTAATCTCCTCTCAATAGAAGGTACAATCTTCATAAGGTTTCCTCAGAAAGGCTCAGCGACGTTGCTCATATCACTCATATCAACGACCCTTTACGTATTCAGAGTCTTCCTTTCGCATTGAAATTGGTATCTTCTCTTCAGCTCTTGGACAAAACATATCGTCACAGCAGACATAACCTGATAAAAACACCAATCCGCTATTACACAGCAATCAACGGCTCGGCCTCCCTTCTCTCAGCCGGCTGGTCGTTGCCTTGCTCACCATCAGCAGGCCCTGCCGAGGCCGGTGTCTCATTTTGCGCGGCTTCTCCACCCGTAGTAGCCTCTGCGTTCTCAACAGCGGGCTCCGGTTCGCCGTTGGCGGCAGCGGCGGCGGCTGTCGCAGCAGCCTCGGCCTCTTCTCTGCGCCGCCTTTCAGCCCGCTCTTGTTCCTCCAGGTGAGCAATGTGCCGCTCGGCCACGCCAGGAGCGATGCTGGCCAGGAACAGCAGACCAGCTCTTTCGAGACGGCGTGCCTGTTCCATCAGCCAGGTCGTGTTATCATGGCGTCTTCGAGCTACGAGTCGGGCAGCAGCTTGGGCAGGGTCAAGTGGACCGTTTTGTTGTGCCGCTACTGGCGCACGTTGGTCATTGGGATTACCAGGAAGGTCTGCGTTGTTTGGCGGGTTATTGTTGTGGTTGTGGTTGTGGTTGTTGTTGGCGAGTGGCAGGAGGTTATCGAGATGCCGCCTGATAGGCGCAACAATTCGATCGAAGTAGGCGTCAAAGAGACCAGTGTTCACAATAAAGATGCTAATGGCAATGGCTATCACTGTCGCCCAACGGGACCAGCTAGAGTTGGGGGAGGTGAACCACCAGATGAAAACCCCCAAGCGGACCACAAGCCAGAAGTGTGGCAGCATCTGGGCTATGAGGGGCGCAAGTCGTGGATTGTTCGGATGAGCAGGCAAGGCTCCGATGGGAACTTCATTCAGACCATGAGGCGGTGCTTGCCACTGAGGGTTGTGAGGTTGTTGTTGCTGCTGCGGGTTCTGCGGCTGTGGCTGAGTTTCTTGCTGTTGCGGGGCTTGAAATGGCTGTGTTGTGGGCGGTATGGTAAACGGGCCAGTTGGCCACGGCGAATGCTGTGGTGAGCGACCATGAGGCGCGAATCTGGCAAAGGCAGCTGCAGGATCCGGGACAGGAAGGCGGAGGCTTGGTGTGTAGTACGTTTCGTTGCTGGTGTTGTTGATGAGCAGGGCACGAGGCCCTTGCGGAGATGATAAGATATAGACTTCGGGGCCAGAAGATTGCGCTGGCGGTTGTGCAGAGCTCGCGTGCGCGTTTACGGTGTGCCCTTCGCTAACGGATCGTGACACAGGATCAGGTGTGCCCCTCTGGCTGCTACGGCTTCGACTAACAGCCCGAGAACCCATGGTGGGATAGTAAGGGGTGCTCGCGCCCGGCTGTAGTCCGAAAGGCAGGGCACCTGGGCCCGGTGACTCGCTTCTTTGCATGGCGTTAGTCATGGCTTGCGTTGCCTGCCCGGCGTCGGCTCCTCTGAGGATACCCTGAACATCTGAGACCGACAAAGGAGTCCAAGTCTCCGTGTTTGTGACTCGATAGGGCTGCCCATCACCCAATGTGCCTTCCCTTACAACCGTCCTTGTGTACGGCTGCCCTCCGGGACTCCTGCCACGCGAGACATCCCGATGGCTTGGTCCGGTAGTTGGCGCACCGTTATCCCCAACGCCATGCATACCCATAGCAGCCCTCGCTGACTGGTTGTGATTTATCTGATGGTTGGCCATGGCCCTGTTGACAGCCTCTCGCTGTAGACCACTCGACCAAGCGCTCATGCTTTGGTGCAGTTGTGAGTGCATCTGCTGAACCTGCTGTGGCGTGAAATTTGGCGCTGTCGGTATCGCAAAGCCTCCCGTTCTCCTTGCTGCTTCAGGTGTCGGAGCACCGAGTGGCGATTGCTGTCGAGGGTTCTGGGGTTGGGCTTGTGTCGCGAAGGGGCGGGCTTCGCCTGGTGTAGGTATGCGACCACGCAGGACCGAGGGCGTCGAAGCAGGTGCATCGGGAATGCCGCGGAGGACAAGATGAAAGGCTTGCAGGCTGTGTTCACGGATCTGCAGGCCGTTAGCACGTATCGCAGGATTACTATGAGACGGATGGACTGACCGTGGCTTCCCCGATGATCTGCCCCAAGGTATCATTGTCGGCCTGAAGATGTCTTCCTCGATATATCAAGCGTTGCTGGGTGTCGGCGGGCTTGGAGGGAATGGCGTTGCGGATCTTTTCCTTCAGCTGGCTGATAGTTGTCGAAATGGAGAGGTCCGGGAAGCTCAAGGGCCCGCCCGAGGTAGCGGTCGTCGTGGGCGAAATGATGTTGAGGCTGACGGTAAGCTGATCGTATGGAAGGTTGGCGGGCACGGGTGCTGATGTTGGGGTCGGCGCAGGCGGCTCATCCGCAACGGAAGACGAGGAACTGTCGGAGGACATGACTCGAAGAGCTCGTGAAGCTTCGTCGACAGGCTGTGTGAGGTGCGTATGTTATAGTATAGATCGATCGTTGTAGAGATGATTCAGTTAACTTGGTGGCGGTGTCTCACGGCTGGTCGCCCTAGCGAAGTGCAAAGCAACGCGAGAAGGTCATGTCAATAAAAAGGTGCGCACGGTGGAAATGGGAGCTCGAGAACCGAGTAGTCCGACCAGTTGATCAATCGAACAGAGGTACAGCTTCTCGCAGCGGGGCAGGACGGGTGCTAGCTGTTGATGTTCGTGATGCTTGTTGAGGTGGTCGACGTGTTCTTTCTTTCTGGGTCGCAGTCTCACAATGACAAGTACTGGGTCACCACTTCCACGTCTGCCACTTCGCAAATGCGGCAGGTGGCACTCGGACCTACGTCTACCGATTGACAGCTGGTCGAATGAACTGGTCCACTTTAATCCAAGAGTGGCCTCATCATCCCTGGAAGTTCTTACCGAGAGTACACCGACTTACCGAGCCCCCTCCCCGGTCGTGCTGATTCGTTCGAAAGAACGCTTGGGGAGTTGCTCTGGTCCTGCAATTGGATGCAGCTACTTGACATCATACCTCTCCGCCTTTGCAATTGGAGTCCTTCATCACACCACCATCCGGGCCGTCGTGTACTCGGACTCGACTTGGAATATCGTTCGACTTTGCGGCTTCTGAATGATCGCAATTCACTGACGACTTCATCATGGCCTCGCTGTTCGGCCCGGTTCCTCTGCGGACCAGCGCCTTGAGCAAGTCTATCAGCGCGCCATGCTCCTCCTGCATGATCACGACCCGCGCCCGTTACGTTGCTCAGCGGTACTCTCGAGCTACGCAACCTTCGGCTCGCCTCTACTCGCAGAAGTCGCAGCAACGCCCGCGCTCCAAAATCACATGGTATCAACTGCCTATCGGAGTCGGCATCGGCTTCATGGGTCTGATGCAGTTCTACAAAACGTCAACCCGGGAAGCTGAGAAGCAGAAGGAGCTCGGCGAGATGGAGGGCGGCACCCCCAAGAAGAGGGAGCGCATCAGGCCAGAGGGGCCTTGGCAAGTTCGCGTCATGTCTACGCTTCCGCTGAAGGCCATGTCGAGGCTTTGGGGACGGTTCAACGAGATTGACATTCCCTACTACCTGCGTGTCCCTGGGTTCAAGCTGTACGCCTGGATTTTCGGCGTCAAGTAAGCTCCGACCCGTCCTCGCAGAAGCACTGTCAAAACACTGACTAACATGTTTGCAGCCTTGACGAAGTCTCCGAACCTGACCTGCACACATATCCCAACCTCGCCGCCTTCTTCTACCGCACACTCAAGCCAGGCGCACGCCCACTGGACCCCCACCCGAACGCCCTGCTCTCTCCTTCCGACGGCCGTATCCTTCAATTTGGGCAGATTGAGGGTGGCGACATTGAACAAGTCAAGGGCATGACGTACAGCATCGACGCTCTGCTAGGCAAGCGTACGCCGACGCCAAGTATCGCCAGTGACCTCTCGAACGGCGATATCAAAACCCCGCTCCGCCAGATCACCGAAAACGAAGACTTGGTGAAGACGGACGAGGAGTTTGCGCGCGTGAACGGCATCCCTTACACCCTTCCCGATCTTTTCTCCGGCGACAAGGACAAGTCCACCAGGCTCTCCAGACCGCACGACGAATCGATACGCCCCGCCTCTCCCGCCACCGAGCGCGCCGTTCACGCTGATCTCGCCCTCGGCGACAAGCCCTGGTATGCCTACCTGGCGCCGGAGGAGAAGAAGACGGCCCTCTACTACGCCGTCATCTACCTCGCACCCGGTGACTACCATCGCTTCCACTCGCCCGCCAACTGGGTCGTCGAGCGCCGCCGCCACTTCGCGGGCGAGCTCTTCTCCGTGTCCCCGTACCTCCAGCGCACCCTCCCCGGCCTCTTCACCCTCAACGAACGCGTCGTGCTCCTCCGACGCTGGCGCTGGGGCTTCTTCTCCTACATCCCCGTCGGCGCCACCAACGTCGGCTCCATCATGATCAACTTTGACCCGCGAGCTGCGCACCAACAGCCTGACGACGGACACGGAGGCCGACCGCGCCGCCGAGGCGGCGCCAAGAACGGCGAGCCCTACCTCGGCTTTTCGGAGGCGACGTATGCCAGCTCGAGCGCTGTGCTCGGCGGCCAGGCACTGCGCAAGGGCGAGGAGATGGGTGGGTTCAAGCTCGGCAGCACCGTCGTGCTCGTCTTCGAGGCGCCGGCGGAGAAGGGCTCCGGCAAGGGCGATGTGCTCAAGGGCGGATGGAGGTGGAACGTCGAGAAGGGACAAACGCTGCGCATGGGACAGGCGTTGGGTTACGTGGACGAGGAGGTGTAAGAGTCAACTTGTGGGCCAGCACATGTAGTTCCTAGTGTATACCGACCTTTGCGCATGTTCATCAATCTTTATACCAACAGATAGTTCCGACTAATCATCCACGTTCAGGCGCACTTGAATGAAGGGTTGTCATGAAATTTTTACTGTATTGTGTTGTGTATCTGAATCCACCGATGTATATCTTGTCTACGTCAAGTGTATATTCTCCAACGTCTTCATCTTTCTAAAAAAGCAGGCTAAAACTCCTCTGCAGCAAACCGTCGTCAATGCGTCGTGAGAAACCAAAAAGAGAGGGCCCACGCCCCCACGGTGCAGGAAGGGAGGTGACGCCGTTAGTTGAAGGACTTGAAGGTCTCCTCGAGGGGCTTGTAGTCCTTGGGTCCGGCCTCGCCGGTCTTGCCGCCAAAGACGAGCTGGGCGTTGAGCTTCCAGCTCGCGGGGACGCTCCACTCGGCGGCGACCTTCTCGTCGATGAGGGGGTTGTAGTGCTGGAGGTTGGCGCCGAAGCCCTCGGCCTCGAGGGCGGTCCAGACGGAGAACTGGAGCATGGCGTCGGACTGGTTGGCCCAGATGGGGAACTTGTCGGCGTAGGCGGCGAACTTCTGCTGCATGCCGTTGACGACGTCCTGGTCCTCGAAGAAGAGGACGGTGCCGGCGGCGCCGGAGAAGAGGTCCATCTTGCCCTTGGTGGACTCCCAAGCGTCGGCGGGGACGATGGCCTTGAGGATGTCGGAGGTGATGGACCAGAGCTTGGTGTGGTGGTCGCCGTGGAGGACGACGACGCGGTTGGACTGCGAGTTGAAGGACGAGGGGGTGGCCTTGAGGGCGGTCTGGACAATGGTGTCGACCTCCTTGGCGGAGAGGGGGGTGTCCTTGGTCAGGGGGTAGTGGGAGCGGCGGTTCTCAATGTGAGAGAGGTAGGTGGAGGCCGACAGAGAGGAAGACATCTTGGCGGTGATTGTGGGGGTGAGGTTGGCTTTGGTGGAAGAGTGGACTATGGTGGAAGTTGGTTTGAGGAAAGTGGTGAGCGGTCTGAGGAGTCTGAGTGATCTGCTGAAGCTGGCCATTGCAAAGAGATCTGGTGTCATCGTAGGGGGTGGCTGGCTCTTAAGTAGTCTCGCACGCCATTGTCGTGGGTTTCCGAATTATTCCCCTCCTCCTCTCCCTCGCTCACCCGTGCGTGGTGGGGCAATTCGTCATGGATGGTTCCATCGAAAAGTCAGGCACAATTGCGCCAGATGAACGCCGTGCCTGTACCTGCGCATGCGTTAGTCAAATGCTTGGTGAGGACCACGACGGAGATGCCGCGCGCGGCGTTGGCAATTGATGAGTGAGGGTTGGATAAGCAGCGCGACCAATGACGTGTGCTAGCGGAGCGGGCTCGGCGTCTTCGTGATGGATCGGTGATGGCTGATTCAGACGCCTGGGGGTGGCCGCTTGCCTGGATTGGGGTAGAGTGATTCTGGAATGGGGAGATAGCCGAAAAACTCGGACCCGCCAGTCGCGCCTGCCTTCTGCCCCTCCACCGACTGTATCGCCCCCGCCTCTGTCGATGCCAGGTCCGTCCTGGCGCTCGGAAAGGACGCAGAGCGTTCCGTTCCTGCCTCTGCGAATGTCTGACTGGGTAGGAAACAATCGCCAGTTGACTCCCATGGTGCCTGCTTGCGAAATGAGCAGTCGTCGAATGCCTGATGTACCTACGACCTTGAAGCACCTACAACATCTTGACACGGTTACTGATGCAACATGCAGCCGTTCAAACGCATCCCACCGCCAAGAAGCAGATCATACTCTGACAGCCTTTCACGGGCCCTGTGCCATGCGGCGACCCTCCTTGGGGGCCGGCGACGCAGTCAGCACTCAAATTCACGACCCCTGCTGGGCATGTCACTCGAGATGCTCGCTGTCTGTCGGTCAGGCAGCTAGCTAGCTACTTTGCCCTTCCTGCGACCGGGGTTTCATCACGCCAGGCAGCCGTGCGAATGATCGAGACCAAGTCCGCTCCGTCAATCCCTATCGCTGTCGGGCCTGTCGTCGAAAGAAGTCCGATCCGACGCAACCTTTGTATTTCCAATCGTGATTTGTAGGGCATGCAGGATCAAAATAGCTGCCCGCTGAGCAAGCACAGCAATGGACCGTTGGCGTGGGTCTTCTCTGCTCCGTACAGTATCTTAGTCAACACCCGCGCGGGTAGCTCCACTTTGCACTTCGATACGTACCGCCCGCGCGATAGCCCAAGCCACCCCACCAACGGCCGTCAGTTGGATCCCAGGCGATTACGATTACATCTCTGCTCAACACCACACCAACAGACTGACATATTCGAGACATTCATCACGTCAGATGCAAGTCGACTGACCTCGCACAAAGAAATTGACATTTCGGCTCCTACACACTAGCTGCCTATTGCTACAATGAGCTATCTCCCAGGATCACCCGCCCGCATTGTCGTCCGAACCCTGGGCCAAGGCCTGCCACAGGAACGGCAGCCAGACAGCCAATATCGCAAAGAGGAACTGCCCCAGGTCGGTGCCCCAACTGGCTACAAACTTACCGTGCAGGATCGTCGCAACGCATACGGGCACCACTGCTATTTGCAGCAGTTGAAATATGTACATCTTGCTGACCTCCTCGTTAATTCGAATACCCCAGCCAATGCATGGCTCGCGACCACTGACGCCGCCGCGCCTTACCAGGGGTTCTCTCAGTTTCGTTGGAAACGTCGTCAGCCAAAAGTCGTCAAGGTGCTGTCCCGGTTCCATGAGGTGATCCAGGGGTATGTCATAATACTCGGCCTCTATCAGCCATGGTTCATATACATAGCGCAGTTCTTCAATCTCCTTCTGCGGCGGCAATTGTTTTGTCTTGAAGTTCCGAGGCGAGAGTCGCAGCCGGATGGGTACCAGGGTGAACTGTGTGACGCGTCAGCGGCTTGCAGCTGTTTGCGAAGGCTGCGTCTTACCTGCACGAAATCGCCGTTGGAAACCTGGTATAGACGCCCCGTCCAAGCCTTTTTTATAGGTTTGAACAACGCTGCCACGCGCGGAATGTCCGGAAGAGAGGCCACAAAGCGGTGCCAGAATTTGCTCAACTATTTGTGGAATGTAGAAACGGGCCACGGGTGGAGTGTCGAGGTGATCCTAATCATTAGAAAAATTGAAAAATATGGTGCGCGATTGACAGATGTGCTGCATGAGCTGGCGATATCGAATGTGGTGGTGATGTGAGGAGATGATCGGGCAGATCGTGTTAGAAGTGGGAGATGTCCACCAGAGACCGACAGAAGAATGTGTCTAATGCATTAGTCGAGGGTACAAGCCATGGTGACTAAAGACAGACGTTTCGTCTGCTAGG